GTGAACTCGATGCAAGGTTTGATTTCCTAACAAAGTATTTCCATGAGCTTTTGAAGACTATAAGCTAGCTAATTTATAGAATGTTCCGCAATTTGGGCTTGTCAGAAATTTTCTCATGCTTTGTTCAGGTTGTGAACTCCTAGCCAGAATACTACAAATACTACATACATGACCTTGTGTCATCCTCAGAGTAACACACCCAAAAGTACATGACGTCCTTCTGTCCATCTTTGGTGACGTTACTTTTGATGACCTGGGCAAGATGTTGTCTGGTTTCTCCATTGCGTAGTAACTATTTTCCCCTTTGTAACTGATAAGAAATCTGTGGTGAGACACTTGAAGACCATAAAAATGTCTTATTCTTACTCTGTCCCCACCCGAATTCATCATCTATCGATAGTTCTTTCAATCCACACCTCCCTTACATATTTATCAGTTGGCATTATTCTATAACGAAGGGTCGTCCTCTTCTCCATTGTTTACCTATCTATCTATCATCTATTTATACATCTATTTCTATCTATTATCAGGGGATTCATAATGTACTTTAAATCTCATTTTTCTTGATAGTATTGACATCCCTTGTTTCCTTTTTTGTCAGCATTTGATTTTTATATCTTTGTCAAGCTTTTTCATTTTATTTTTTCTTTATTATTTTCTTTTAGGAGTGTAAGCATCCTCTAAGCCTATTATTTTAAAAATGGTGAACATGTTCCGTTTCCATTGTTTATAATGATGTTCTGGAAAGTAGTAGAAATGTCCAGTAAGACTTGACAAATAATTCTTATCTTCACATGGATGACTTTTAAAAATAATTGCAGTTAAAGAGGATAGTTGTTCATCTTACCTAAAATGTAGACATGGCAGGAATGAAAAGCTTTATTTTGGAAGGTCATTGTCCAAAAAGGGTCAGGTGTGGCAACTGAAGGACGCCTTTTTGGTACTCTCCTCCCTAATGCAGACGAATGATATTCGCTGTAAGGTTCCCATTGAGCACTTTCTCTGAAGGATAAGATAATCTTGGCTAAATTACTTCCTACTCATTTATCTGGCCGTAGGACAATAAGTTGGATGATCATCTCAAGTATCACAGGGTTAATTAATTAATGTGAGTAAAAACATTCTGTACTTCCACAGATGAAAGATTTTGAAAAGCATTCAATACTATTATGTGTTATTTTCTTATCCTTTAAGTAAAAGCTTAATTAGTGATTTTGAGAAGGAAATGGGAACTAATCAAGCACATTATGTTTTGGAAGACCTCGCCCTACTGCAGTAAAAATGCTTTTACCAGAAAGTTCATTATGTTTCTTGCATTATTCAGTTCTGAGAACAATGCATTTACTGAGAATGCAACATGCTGCTGTGATCTGCCAGTATAAATGATGCCACGAAAATGTTTTAAAAACATGTTTACATGCACAAAATAGAAACCTCAAGCCCAAGAAAACACAAAATCTCACATTAAAATAGTGATATTTTATATTTTCTAATTGGGGCTGTTCTACTGTCCTATAGGGTTGTTATGAGTTGTAATCGACTTGACGCCACACAAGAACAACATTCTAATTTAATTCAAAATTTAGACTTACAGAGGGGTGAAATAAAATATAAAATATTTTTTTAAAAATATTTCAAAACAATGACAACCAACAACAACAACAACAAAAATATATATATAGAGAGAGAGTGCATGGGATCATTAGTCTTATTGGTTTAAAGGCTTAGGGTTATGGCTTCTTGGGACTATCCAGCCAATTGGCCTAACACTGATTTTAGAGTTTCTGTTCTACTCCCCAGTTTGGTAAGTAGTGCCGAGGGTCTTAAAAGCTTGTGAGTTGCCATCCAAGATACCACCATTGGTCTCTATTCACCTGGAGCAGCAGAGGAAGAAGGATACCCAGGAGCCACTGACTCCTTTGCCATGAGATCAGATGAACTGGATGGTGCCCAGCGACCATCACTGAACGTTTTGAGCAAGGACTCAATAGATGAATCCTGGTCAAAAAGGGAAACATGTGGGACAGAATTTAAAATTTCTTATAGAATCCAGACTTAATGAACCCACTGAGAATGGAGAAACCCCCAGATCTGTTGTCTTGAGAAAATTTTTGAACCTCAAACCAAAACTGTCCCCTGAAGTCATCTCTAAACTAAATAAAAGTTTAGCTGAATTACTGAAGAATGTTTGCCTTGAGCATTGCAGTCTTTTAAAGAATCATCTATGTCAGGTCAAATTGACAACAGTAACTCTAAAGCACAGACGAGTAGTTTATGGGATAGTGAGTGTAAGTCAATGGTGGTAAAATAATATGGGGTGAGATAGTGAGAACGGTGACACAATGTGAAGAATGTAACTTTTTCATTGAACTTTACATGTAGAAATAGATGAATGGGGGTATGATCTGCTGGGTATATTTTCTCTGAAAATAAAATTTAAAAAAATTAAAAAAATTTTTTTAAACATTTCTTTCAATTATACTTTTTTGATCAAACAAAAGTATATCTGGAACGTTACCTACAGAATTCACCCCCCACAACTTCTCCCCATTAATGCCTCTCTTTGATGCGCCCCTTTCCTCTGTTCTTCCCGTGGGTTATGGGTGGGCCCACGGAAAAATGCGTGGGATAAAAAATAATCCTAGCTATTTTTTCTTTATACTTTAATCCTAACATCATTATACCCATTTCAACAATATTCTTAGCAATTGGGAAGACTCATGAGCGCACAATGCTTCTGCAGTGAATAAAAGCTACATATTCCAGGATGAAATTGAAGGTAAAGTCCCTAGATATTGGAGTATGACTAAATCAAGTCTTGTCATGAGTTGTGTTCTTCATTAATTCAGTCATATTTGTTGAGTGCCTACTATGTGCCAAAGTGATGGACAATAAACAACAGGCAAAATGATTAGGTAAACTATATGACGTCTTAGAAGGTAAAAAGCACTAAGGAAAGAAAGGATGGTAAGGAGGATTAGGGTGCTGTGGGGAGGGGCACATTACAATATTAGAGTGATGGGAGCAAGCCTCATTCAAGAGACGACCTTTGATCAAAGGCTTGAATTAAGTGAGGGAGTTAGTGTTCCAGGCAAAGCCCCAAGGTAGGAGTGTGTCTTGTGTGTTCAGGGAACAGCAAATGAATGAGCGTGACTGGAGCCAGAGTGAGCTAGGGGAGAGTCGAAGGAAATGAGGTCAGAGAAATAAAAAGATGGGCAAATTCATGCAGGGCCTTGGAGGCCCTTGTAAAGACTCCATCTTTTAGTTTGGGTTAAAAGGGGTAAAAGAGCTTTGGCTCTTACTCTAGGTGAGATGAGGAGCCACTGGAAGACTCTGAGCAGAGGAGTGATAGGATCTCACAGCTACTCTAAAAGGATCTCTCTATTGGGAATAGACCCCAGGGGGCCGAGGGTGCAAGGCGGGAGACCAGTTAGGATGCTATCACACTAATGGCAGTGAGAGCTGACGGTGGCTTCCACTAGGTGGGTATTATGAGAAGTAATTAGATAACTGAATATATTTTGAAGGTGGAGCCGACAAATTTCCCTGGTAGAGTGCATGTGGGTTTGGTAGGATGACTCCTAGGTGTTTGGCCTAAGCAACTGGAAAGATGGAGATGCTGTCGGGTGAGATGGGGAAGGCTGTGGGTGAGGCAAGATTTTGGTGGAGGAAGATCAAAAGTTCCTCTTCAGACATGTTAAATTTAGGATATCTATTAGACATCCGAGTCCCTGGGTGGCGCAAAATGTTAAAGCATTTGGTTGTCAAATGAAAGGCTGGAGTCCGCCCAGAGGTGGCTCAGAAGAAAGGGCTGGCAATCTACTTCTGAAAGATCACCGCCATTGAAAACCTTAAGGAGCACAGTTCTACTCTGACACATAAGGGGTCGCAATGAGTCAGACTTGACGGCAACTTTTTTTTTCTTTTTTTAATTACACATCCATGTGCAGATGTTTAATAGGCAGTGTGGTGTATGAATCTGAAATTCAGGAAAGAGGTCTGGGGTGGAAATATGTAACTTTGGGAGGAAGCCTTACCATACAAATGGTTCTAATACCCTGAGACTGTATGATGAAACCAAAGAAGTATAGATACAATACGGAAGAAGACACAAGACTTCATCCTGGGATGAAAAGAGGAACAGGAGAAATTGTCATTCTCCTATTCACTTAAAATGTGCTCCCTTGCGTTGAAGATGATATGGAAAAAAAGGGGAGGAAGGAAGAATTACACAGGGCAGACTGCATGTAGAAGGCAACCTGCCCCGTTCCTTTTCTAGAGAGACTAACAGGACACGAGCGTGGATGGGAAATCATCCTCCTACAGGTGTGTTAAATTTAGAACTTGACTGCCTTTTATATGTCAAATTGCACATGTATGGATTGACTTAGAAAGCACTACTGAAATCATCTAATGAAAAATACAATGTTTTGTTTATGGAGTCGCATGAACTCAATATATTTATATGCAGAACATCTAGCAAGTTCTCAACAAATACTTGCCACACTATTAATACATTACCTTTGCTCCTTGTTGGAAATTTTAATATTATACTAAAGCTGTTCTCTTTTGCATAAAGGAAACAGATCACAGCTTTCTTCCGTTCTTTTTTTCAAGACAGATTTATCTATTAAATCACATGCCAGGTTATTCAGACACATAACTTACACTTTGTCTAGGATCATTTGCCAGAATGTACTGGCATGGAGACACAGTGGGTGTGAAGTGTCTATTTATCTTAACTCTGGCGGACTGGCAATTATAGTCTGAGACAACCATTGAAAATATGAGTATCTTCAAATACAAAATGGGTTTTATTACTTGTATCTAAGTAATCTTTCATCAAAGCTAGAGCTTCAATGTACATTTACTTAGAAAATATCCCATAACCTTGGAGATTATTTCAATGAGAGTCTTTAATATTTTCTGCTCATTCCAAGCATTAGAGCACAACTAACAACTCTAACTCTTCCTTTAGAAGGAGGAATCAGTTCGCTAACCTGGAAAGGAGGGGATGGCGTTGATGCGGGTGGTCCTGATGACGCCCACGCGGGTCCCGCGGTTGTTCTTCATGCACATACAAATGCAGATGGCGATTCCAGCAATGACGCCCATGATAAACACGATGCCAAACACAATGCCTGCGATGGCGGTGCCCCTAAGGAGGGAACGCAAACGTGCTCTTATTGAAAAGGCTCCTAAGGACTCTTCAGTCTTTTAAACATATGACTACGTGGCAAATGTTTCTTTACAAACGTCCTCAGGTATAATTTTTTTTTTTTTTTAAGTAATTCCCTGAATAGGTCAAGCAAGTGGTTTTCTGTATTTCAATATGTAAGAAAAAGTTATAAGCCTTTAGGAAATTTACTTTCAGCACAGTTAAGCCAACATTCAGTTTCTGGTTTTAAAAATTAATGTGTTTATTCAGAGCACAATTCTACACTTAAGCTTTCTAAATAATAACTATTCTGCTGTGGAATGTTACCGTAGCCTTGCTAGTACTCAAACAGCAAAGAATATGTCTACTGGCCATTGACTATATGCATTCAATGAAAACTTGACAAATGCCAACATATTAAATACAATTTAGCATTGATTCCTGACTAAAACTCTTCCTTAAGTAAAACCAGAATGTTTCTTCTTTAACACAACAAATTAAACAAAACCAAATATCCTCTTTTACTATTATCCAGAGACGAGTTCTGACAAGCAAGTATTCTTATTAAATTCAAGAAAAATGTAATTAAAACCTCTATTTCTATTCATGTTATTTTTTTCTCTAGAAGTTCTAGCTCATGCAACAAAACCATAAAAAGAAAAAAAAAACTGCATGAAATAATCATTGTTATAATTATCTGTAGATAATACGATTTGCAGGAGTCTAAATTTGCCCACCATTTTGGAAAACAATGAGGAAATCTTTAACAAAATGTTCATTTTGACCAGGCAGTATCATTTATAGCAATGTTACCTAAGGAAATACAGCTCATGTGTGCAAAAGAAATGTACCAAAGATGTTCATCAAAGTGTTGCTGCTAACAGAAAAATATCAAAAATATCCTAAATGTGTATAAAAGGAGGAATGACAAAGAAGAAGAAAAAAGATACATCCATAGAATGAATCCTATACAATGATTAAGAAGGATGAAGAGGTGTCCATGTGTTGTGGTGGAATGTTCATAATACACAGTTAACTTAATAATATGACTACTAATGGAAAAGCAAGTATCAACAAGGTAATACCAGTATTGAGGATAGCACTGAGGCCAAACTGTTTCATTTTATATATCAAATTTCTGAAAGTATATATAGTGGTCATCATGTGGATATGGGAAAATAAAGAAAATTTTTCTCTTTCTAATTTATGTGCTCTCTAGAAGCAACCATTTTCAACTCTCTCAGCTATTTCTTCTGGTACCTTCCTCCATGTTTCTCAACAATATGGTTACATTTCTTTAAATTAAAAAAACATTTTTACATATTATCTGTTAGCTTCCTCTTCCATTATTTGGGAATTTAAATCTCTCAGACGAACTTTATCTTTGGTTAAATCAGTCATTTGACATTTTTTTTTTTCACTGTTGAGTAGAAGTGATGTATCATAGTAGACAATTTTTTCTTTTTAAGGAATACATTTATTTCCATATGTTTTCATTTTTCCATAAACCTATTGCTACCCCTCCCCTCCCAAATAATTCCTCGAAATCTTTCACACATTATCATAACTTTTCCAAAACTCAGATACAATAAAAAAAAACTTTATCGGTTCTGTTTTTTCCCCCACTCTCTCCCACAGCTTGCCAACACCGGTGATTCCTCTGGAGTTCAGAGCGGTTCCTCTAGACCTGTTTGGGGCTCGGCAGAGCTCCAGTTTCTAGCCTCCATTCTTGATCTTTCTTGGTGAAACACCCTGTGTGCCAAGCACGTCCTCAAATGGATTTTTTTTTAAAACAATTTTACTGAGAGATAATTTACACACTACGCAATTCATTTAAAGTATACAACTCAATGGTTTTTAGTATACCCACAGATACAGTAAACTATAACCACAGTCAATTCTAGAACGTTTTCGTCACCACAAAGAGAAACTCTGTACCCTTTAGAGTGTCACGTTTTGTTCTCTTGGATGCAGTTTCTTCTTTTTTTTTTTTTCAGATTAATCTTTTTTTAAAAAACTTAGTTTATTGTGTTTTAGGTGAAAGTTTAAATAGCAAATTAGGTTCCCATTTAGCAATTTTTACACAACTTGTTCCATGACATTGATTACATTTTTCACAATGTGTCAACATTCTCATTATTTCCATTCTGTTTGTTCTGTTTCCATTAATCTAGCTTCCCTGCACCTACTTAGTTTCTCATCTTCGTTTTAGGGTAAATGTTGACTGTTTGACCTCATACAGTAGATTATTTAATGGAGCACAGTGTTTATGTGTGAGATTGCTTATTTTATACCCCAGTCTATTATTTGGATGAAAGGTGGCCACCGGGAGTGGCTTCAGTTCCAAGTTCAAAGAGTATCTTAGGGCCATAGTCTCAGGGTTTCCTGTAGTCTCTGTCGGTCCAGTAAGTCTGGTCTTTTTTAGGATCTGAGCTTTATTCTACATTTTCTCCCTTTCTATCCAGGACCCTTTATTGTGTCCCTGGTCAGAACAATCGTATTGGTAGCTGGGCACCATCTGGTTCTTCTGGTCTCAGACTACATGAGGCTGTGGCTCATACGGGCTATTACTCCTGTGGACTAGTGTCTTCTTTGAGCCTTTGGTTTCCTTCATTCCCTTTTGTTCCAGACAAGCAGAGATCAATAGTTGTATCCTAGATGGCTACTCACAAGCTTTTAAGACCCCAAATGCTACTCACCAAACTAGGGTGTAGAACACTATCTTCATGAACTATGTTGTGCCAATTCATCGAGTTGTTCCACTGGACTATGGTCCCAAGCCTTCAAACCCAGTAATCCAATCCCATGAGGTGTTTGGTTAGTTCTAGGAAGTATCCATAACTGTGCCCCCATGTGGTTAATTGTATATGTGAATACATACGCAGTGCACATAAACATGTATATACATATGGCTACAGATACACCTGTACATGCACAGCCATATACTCACATGTGCCTTCCTAGACACATATATGCATACATGTAACCATACACATACTTCTTTTGATTGTTATTATTGTTGTTGCAAAATTGTATGTCACAGCATTTACCCAAAATTTCCCTTACTCCTGCATACTTCTTAGTGTCTTCATTTACCTTGGACAAGTTACGCAGGCTTCACCCATATTCGGTACTGCCTTTCCCATCACCAAAGATAACAAGTGTCTATTACCTAGAAAGTGACTCCCCCATCTCCTCTTCCCATCCCTGGTAACCATCAAGGAACAGTGCTTTCTCTGTGTATACCTATTCGTGACTTTTTATAAAAGTAAGACCATAAAATATTTATCCTTTTCTGGTTGACTTATTTCACTCAGCATAATGCTCTCCAGATTCATGCATGCTATATTTCTTGAACTCCTCATTATTCTTTATAGTTGCATAGTATTCCTTTGTATGTATGTACCACAATTTGTTTATCCATTCATCTGTTGATGGGTACTTAC